TTCTCCTGCTAACCTCCTCAAATGTCTCACCCAGTCCTTTGTCTCTGTTGCTCCAAAATTCAATTTGAGGTATTATGTTTAAATTATTTGGAAGGGAATGTTGGGAGAGTTTGGCTGGGTTGCTACCTTTAATCCACCATTTTCGCTTCCTCAATTTCTTTCTAAAAAGAAATGAATATATTTTTAAGTGGTAGCTTATGAATATGTATTATGCTAATGATCCAAGTCATTCAGTTGTTAGATTTGAACTGCAAGGTGTTGGTAGTAACTTACATGAAAGAGCCACAAGACTAGAAATGTTTATTGATGGATACACTTCATCAGTAGTCTGTGGTTCACCCCCAACAGCCCAGCAATGGCAGCCCCATTCAGCGCAGATAGTACCATGTCTTGGCATCTTGTCTTTTGAGGCATGCTTTGGGTTCCACTAGTCCAAAATGTATATTGACAAATAAGAAGTTCTCCCAACACTGACCTAGCCCATGGTCCACCTTTGGGGAGAGTTTTTTAATATCCCAGAGGAGTGATGCATAATGGTACCCTCCAAATATCTCTTGGATCAGTTTTGTACAGGTACTTCAAAGCTAAGGGAAGAAACTAGAAGAATGTTGTGACATAAAGGGCACAACATATTTGTTCTCTGGGAGTGATCTTTGAGAGCTAAGGATATTTGGTATACACCCATCAAATACCAATTAGGCACATCATAAACCCATAGGGATTATGGACTCAGGCCTTATGAGACAGTCCTGGAGACTAATCTCCTACGGTCTTCTACATCCCTATGCCCTAGTTCAATGAACAAGACTAAGGAGGATAAGAAGGATTCCCCAACAGATAAATATTCAAAGAATACCAAAAAAATGCCTTTCAAAAGAAGAAATATAAAGCAGCAACATACATAAGAAAGACTGCTCCAAATCACCAATAAGAGAAATGAAGTTAAAAAGAACTTTGAGATTTCAGGTTACATTCATCAGGTTGGTAAAATGACAAAAGATGAAATGAGAAATGTTGTAAGGCTGTGGGAGGATAGTAGCAATAATGCATTGTTAATGGAACTACAAATTGGTCCAACTAACTTGGAAAAAAATTCATAATTATTCTAGAAAAGTCACTAAACTATACATACTCTTTGATGCAGTGATACCTCTACTAGACGTATACTTTGGGGAAATCAAAGACAGTGAGAAAGGTATTAAGTATACAAAAGTATTTATAGCAGCACTTTTTGTGGTATTTTAAAAGTTTGGTACGGTTTTAAGCTACTAAAATTTCTGCCCTTCTTTGTGTCCCAGTGCTTGACACATAGTAAATGCTCGCCAAGTCTAAGATGAGATAAATACAAGTAAAGCTACATTTTCTGCAGATGGCACTGTGACCTCCTTTGTCATGACTATGCCTTTGATGGATAACCCTGGTGGAGTTTCAAATGGCGCTTCAGAGATGGGAAGCACAAGTAATCTTCAGATTTAGGAGGTTTGGCAGGAGATCCACCAAGAAAGCCCATCTGCCCAAGGGTATAAGAATAAGTTTTGTAGGGGCAGCTAGGTGGCACAGTGGATAGAGTGCCAGCCCTGGAGTCAGGAGGACCCTAATTCAAATTCAGCTTCAGACACTTAGTAGCTGTGTGACCTTGGGCAAGTCACTTTACCCTGATTGCCTCCAAAATACATAAATAAGAGAATAAATTCCGTAAACAAAGGAGATGAGAGGTAGAAAGGAGAGGGAAAGATGACTGTGAGAATGCAGAAAATTGCTATTAAAGGGTAATTCCTCCTATCCTACTATTGCTGAATAGTATCTTTAGCTACCAACATGCTATCAGTACTGACTGTGCTATTCACTCCTCCTAATCTAAGATATCCATCAACAAATATCTTCAGTCTTATTAAATGTCCCAGGTAAATCATTCCAGAAGCTTGTAACTGGTACCTACACACAGACCACTGTTTGATAGAGAGGCTGATGCAAAGCATTTAGAAAGAGAAGCAGGAATTACTAAGAGCCAACAGGAGGTCATCAAAGGCAGGTCAAAAGCTCACTCCTTTTTTTTTTTAAACAAGACTACTCAGAGATGAGAGGAATGCTGTGAGTCTAATATACCTGGATTTCAGTGAGCCATTTGACAAAGCTTTCATGTTATCTTGGTAGAAAAGGTGAGGTGTGAACCAGGTGATAGTACTGTTAGTCTAATGACTGTACCCAAAGAGTTGTCAAAGAATGAGCCCATAGAAACCCAAATGAAGGTCTCTAAGGAAACACCCCAGGGCCCTTGCCCTCGACCCAGTTCTGCTCAAGATCAATGACTTGGGCAAAGGTACAAATTGCAGAAGTATCACATTTGCATATGGCCCGGGCGGTGGGGGTGGGGGGTGTTGCTAACATGTTGGATGACTGAGTCTGGATCTAAAGAGATTCCTACAGGATTGAACCACAGGCAAAATTTATTGAAATAAAATTTTTAAAGGATAAAAGTGAAGTCCTACGCTTATAATTTTTAAAAAAGTCAACTGCACAAATATAGAATGGGAAAGGCATGACTAAATAACAGTTCCTGGGGGAGGGGGAGGGGGGAAGACCTGTGGGTTTTAGTGTGCTGCCAGCTCAATAGGAGTCCTCAATAAGAAATGGCAGCCAAAAACCTAATGCCATCTTAGGCGGTGTTAATGGAGGCACAATGTCCAGAAAGGACATTCCAGTGACTCTCTATTGCCTCTGGTTGGCATTTAAAGCCCTTTGCAATCTGGCTCTAACCTTTCTTTCCAGGTTTATTATGCATTACTCCTCTTCACATACACTACCATCCAGCCAAGCTGGCCTTCTTTCAATTCCTCATACACAATATTCCATCTCCTCCCTATGTCTCTTTGCTTAGACTGTCCTCTATGTCCCGGCCCACCATGCTTTGACTCTTTGATCATCTTCAGGCCATGCTGCAGCCCACCCACCACCTTCATTTCTGCCCCTACCTGTGGCAAAGGTAATAAAATCAACTTTGCCATTGCAACTGTGACTCCGTTCACCATCCCTGGGACTTCCCTGACTCAAATACCCCTCTCCTTCCTAGATGTGATATCTTAACCTATTGGAATGTAAGCTCTTTGAGGGCAGGGTCTGTGTTTCTGTTTTTGTTTGGGTTTTTTTGTATTTATATCCCGTATGCTAAGTACTTAATAAGTCCTTTTCAAATTCTTCATTTTTCTTCCTTCTTTCCTTCCTTTCCTTCCTTCCTCCATTCCTTTCTTTTTTCTTTCTTTCTTTCTTTCTTTCTTTCTTTCTTTCTTTCTTTCTTTCTTCCTTTCTCTCTATCTTCCTTCCCTCCTCTCTCACTTGGGGCTCAGAGCTAACAACAAGATAAAGAGCATTATGGACTCTTTGATAGTACTTCCCAGAGTGACTCCAGGACAGGGTGAGGTTGGCAGATAGGAGTCCTTGAATGAACCTGATCCCTATACTACCCCCTTAACATTGCTACCCCCAGAATGGGGGTACCTCCACACTTCTCCCTTTTAGAACTTCTAGGTTCCTCCAAGCTCAAGTAGCATTTCCTATAGGAGGCTTTTCCTGATCCTCTCAACTGCTAGTGCCTCTCCCACCTCCCAGGGCTTTGGTCCATGTACAGATTACCAGCGTAGAGGCGCCCATGTGGGAGATGTTTCTGGGAAAAGACTGCATTCCTTTACCATAAGGCAGACAATAGCATCTTTCCATTGGCTGTGTAACCACCAGACTGGGATACTCTTGCTCTTTCTTTCTAGCTGAATCCAGAAGGGATGAAGGTACTGTTCAGCCACAGCACAGACACCATGAACTGAGCCAGTAAAAGTGGAAGACTGCTTTCCCTTTCCCCTTTAAGGCTCTGTGGCCCCAGTAAATGGGCTTGGGGGCTCAGTCTGGTTTTTTCATTTATCTTTTTCAGTTCTAGGCATAGATGGTGGATTCCCTGGACAGATTACAGTCATGGTGACCATGGAGGCAGGATTCCAACCTGGATATTGCTGTGAGAACAGCAAGAAAATCCTGAGGAGCCAGGGAACCTGGGAATCAAGCCCAAGGGGGCTTTGGAACATGGTGGAACCATGCTACATAAGAACTGAGCTAAACTGTGAATCAATTGCCTTCCCCTTCAGACAGTGAAGTAGCACAGTGGTGGGGAATTATTCCCCCCCAAGTTATTGGGAGGGGTGATATTTGTATTTTTTTATTTGCTGTTTTGAAGCAAATATTCCTAAAAGCTAATGGTTAAATAGAACTAAAGTTCAGTGTCCCCTCTTAAAATTGAGGGAATACCATTGTTAGGGACTTATGCCAATGATAGAAAGACTAAATACCCCAACTTCCATTTTTTAAAGGTACTAGATAACCCTAGGGAAGGGGTGAAACATAACATACTTGGCTCTTACGTTGAGGCGGGGGCAGGTGGCCAAGATAGTTACTATTACATTTACCTTGTATAAACTTACATATGTACTCGCTGTCTCTCCTGATAAAATGTAAGCAAAACTTGTCTCCCCAGTGCCTTACCCAGGGCCTGGCACACAGTAGCCAAGTAAAACTGTAAGTTTCTTGGGGACATGGACATTTTTATTTTTATCATTGCATCCATAGTCCATAACACAGAGCATGAACAGAGAAGGCAAATAAAATTGCTATATGACCAATGTATTCATAGCCTCAGTGCCTAGCACAGTGCTTAGAACAGCGTAGGAGTTTAACAGATGCTTGTTGATTGATTGACAAAAAAAAATTATCAGATGGTGGCCAGCCTCCCAGTCATGAGCCTCTCTGAACAAGGACCAAGCTGGTCATTGAATGGCCCAAACACAATGTGTCACTGGGCCTGACTCCAGCTTTCTAATTCTGGCAAAATCTACCAATGCTTGCACTCACCAGCACGGTTGCCTACTCCTAGTTCTGGCCCTGGCCCCAGCAGCACCCCCATCATCCCCTCCAGTGGGGTTTAAATGGACAGAGGGGTTGGCAGTGGTCAATTTTACCTGGTGGGAGACTCAAGGTCAGCTCTGCTGAGGATTCGGTGTTGCTGGGGAGTATATAGCCACTGAAAGGCAGTCAAGGTCCTCTCTTCGATCCGAAATCGGCCTTCCCGTACATACCTGGGGGCAACAGATACAGTAAGTGGGAGGAGGTGGAGTTCAATGACCTGGCTTCTAGTCCTGGCTTTCCCCTCTGGCTTAACCCCACTGAGTTCCTGAACTGGCTACAGCCAAACACCTTTCCTGGAGATTTGGTGGGTGAGAGACCCAGTGGGTTCTTCTCCAGCATTGGCTACATCTAAAGCCATATGGTACAGTGCAAAGACTACTGGACCAAGGATCATGAGATCTGGATCCCAGCGCTGACTGACTCCACCATGTGCCCTCAAGCAAGTCAGTCCTCTTCTCTGGGCCTCATCTCAGTTTCTTGATCTGTAAAATGGAGGGGTTGGACGGATGATGGTGTTCCAGGGTTCTATCAGCTCAGTGAATTTTTATGAGCCCCAGACCTGTATAAGCTCTCCTGCTTTCCATTGTCTCTCCTCCAAGGAGCTTCCTCATTCACTGAAGGTAGTCAGGGAGTTACGTACTCCCCAGTCCCAGGAAGATTTGTGGGGAGATGTAGGAGGGGACGGTGGCTAATCTATAGGAATGAATAGGGAAATTTCAGGCATGATGGACAGACCAATGCGGTATACATTTCTGAGCCAAAGTACTTTTTCTGGGGCCCTCAAGTGGCCACCTACTTAAATCTGCCTGGCCCTGAAGCCTTTACTAACTGTCCTCAGACTCTAGCATAGCACCCTCCACCTACCAGATTATCAAGCATGTATTTGGCATATACTTTGTATACACTTATATTTGTATATTGCCTCCCTTGATAGAATGTAAACCCCCTGAGGGCAGAACCTCATCACTTCACGGGGTGACTACTGCATTAGCTTGATGATTGCACTCCTTGTCTCAACTCTCCCCTACTCCTGTCCATCTTCCACTCAAATGTCAAAATGATCTTTCTAAAGTACAGCGTTAGGCGGACTTCAGAAAAATCTGGAACGACTTGTATGGACTGATGCTGAGCGAAGTGAGCAGAACCAGGAGAACGTTGTACACAGTAACAGCCATGTTGTGCAGTGACTAACTTTGATAGACTTAGCCCTTCTCAGCAATGCAAGCATCTAAGACATCTCATGATGGAAAATGCTATCTACATCCAGAGAAAGAACTATGGAGTTTGAATGCAGACTGAAGCAGACTATTTGCCTTTTTTTCTTCTGTTTTATTTCCTCTTTCTTGTGGTTCCTCCTATTGGTTCTAATTCTTCCTTACAACATGACTAACGTGAAAATACGTTTAATAGGAATGTATATGTAAAGCCTATATCAGATTGCGTGCCATCTTGGGGAGGGAGGGGGAGAAAAATCTTAAACTCAAAAGTTTATGGAAGTGATTGTTGATAAATCAAAATAAATTAATAAAAATTTAAAAAATTAAAAAATAAAGTACAGCTCTGACCACTCACCCACCCCCCACCCCCATTCCTACTCCAGTGGCTCTCTATTTCTTCCAGGATCAAATAGAAAATTCTTTGTTTGATGATGAGAGAAATGATTATTTTTCTCACATTAATAACCAATTATTGAATTAGGACTAAGGTTTTTCCCCTTTCTTTTTCCTCATTCAGAAGTCAGCTCCTGTAGGTTATAAAACCGGCTTTTGAAGTGCAGGGCTGATAATGAAATGAAATCTGAGGTGAAACTTGCCCAACTGGGAAAACTTCAATCTGATCAAAAGGTAAAGAAATTCCAGTCTAGGTGAATTGGTGAATTTAGGCCCATTATATTTTAGTCAGACAGGTCTGAGTGGAAGCGGATTCCTCCTTTTATCTAGATTGCCCTAGAATGGGATGATCTGGGAAGAGATAAGTCACTGTGTCCAGAACTGAGTGATCAGAGTCATGTCCCCCAGCCCTTCATTAGAATAAGCCCATCTCTTATTATAATATTCATTCTCTCATTAATTGTTAACCAATCAGAGTTGACTGCTGCTTTTGAGGACACCCACTTTTCCAAGGGCATATAAGTATTGAGAGGCCTCCATGAGGGGTCTTTTGATCTATGAGAGATGGCCAACTGACCATCCTTTTATTAACTACTTACTAGCCATAATTGATGAAAATGATTAATTACCCCAAAATTATGTGTCTTAAACTTCATAGCATTCTCAAAACATCAGAATATTTAAAGCCCTTCTACCTTCTTACCCAGTTAGGTGGCACAGTGGATAGAGTGCCAGGCCTGGAGTCATGAAAATCCGAGCTTAAATCCTGGCCTCAGACATTTACTAGTTGTGTGAGTGTGACACTGGGTATGTCACTTGACCCTATTTGCCTCATTTTCCTCATCTGTCAAATGAGCTGGAGAAAGAAATGGCAAGCCAGTCCAGTATCTCTGCCAAGAAAACCCCAAATGGGGTCGTAAAGAGTCAGGACTGAAAAAATGACTGAACACCACCTGCTTACAGTTTACTATCTTCCAGTAACTCTGTAATTCAGTTATACTGGTCTTCTTACTATACTTCAACCACCCTACTCTATCTCCTGACTATACCTCTTCATTCTCTGTCCTCCATGCCTGGAACGTTCAACCTCCTCATCTCAGCTTTCCAGCTTCCCTGGCTTCCCTCAAGACTCAGCTCAAATCCTGTGTTCTCCAGAGGGCATTTTCTGGTCTGCCACACTGCCCCTCCCCCCATGCTCTGTGATATTTTCATATATATATACATAAATATATATATATGTGTGTATGTATGTATGTATGTATGTATGTATGTATACACACACGTATGTGTATATATGCACATGTATAAATGGATATGTTTGTGTGCGTGTATATATACATCTTGTATGGCCATTGCACAAAGTAGGTGAATAGGAAATGCTTGCTGATTGCTTGATTGTCCAGAAACTTGCAGGTTGACCTCCTCTAAGCAGAGGAAGTCCAGCCTATCTCTTTCCCTGCCATCCTCCAGAGTGGATGTTTTGGTTGTAGCTGATTCTGAACAGTCCATCCCATGCCTTCCTAGCCTTATTACAGTACAAATCCCAGACAGATCCTCCATGGTATCACTCTAATAGAATTATGAGCTAGAAGGGTTCTTAAAATTCACCTAGTCCATCCTTACTATTTTACAGAGGCTCAGAAAAGGCAAGTGACTTGTTCAAGGTAACAGAGTTAGAGATAGACTCAGTGTCTGCTGGAGCCAGCTGAAGGCAAAAGTAAAAGGTTAAATCTTTAGTGTGAGCATTTACACCTCAGAAAATGGCAAACACTATATAGATCAGGGCTTAATTTATTATTCCGTGGGTTGTCTAGACTTAAGAAAGCATTAATAATGCAGATTAAATTTAACAGGAGATCTGCTACTCCCCGCCTCTCCCTCAGAGATCCTGGTTCTTAAACATTTACCAGCATACCCCTGTATTGCTCTCTAAGCATTGCTTAAACTCAGTAGGCCTTCAGGAGAAGGCTCAAGGAATGAAGTCATCACCAGACCAGAGGCTTGGTGACTATAGGCTAACGATGATTATAACAGGGATGATGATGATTGCTTGATAACAATAATGACAAATAATAATAATTGGTATTGATAGAGCATTTTAAACTTTTCAAAGCATTCTATGTCCATTATCTCATCTGAACCTCATAACACCCCTGGATAGACTCCATGACTTTTGACTGACAGTCTAAGGCTCTTTCAAAAATACTTTGTTGTCTCATACCTTTCAAGATAGCCAAGACAAGTATCAATATCCCTATTTTATAGATGAGAAAACTGAGAATCAGAGAGGAAAATTGACTTGTCCAGAGTTACCTTAGGAAAATCCAGTTTCAAACCTACATTTTCTGACTCCAAATCAAGCATTTTTTATTCATCTGGGGCTTCTTTATTTCTTCCCTTGGCCTCTTTCTTTCTCAGTGTTTCTCACTTTCTGCCCTTTTCTCTCTCCAAATCATTCTACCTATGTCTTTGAAGTATTTCTTATTTGGAAACAGTGTAATGTAGTCATTAGAGACCTGGCCCCAGAATCAGAAAGATCCAGGTTTGAGGTTAGCCTCTGACACGTATGGGCTGTGTGACCCTGGGCAAGTCACTTAACCTCTTGGTGCCACAGACTACTCTCTAAGATGATGAAGTGTAGACCTGCTTTGGTATGGGCGCTTCCTCATCTAGAGTTATACCAATAAAATCACAGGCCCAGTTCACCCTCATCCCTAAAAAGAAATGAGATAATGGATAAAGTATTGGACCAAGAATTAGGAAAATCTGGGTTCAAATCCTGCCTCTGACACTAGTTGTATGATTTGTGAGCAAGTCTCCTAATCTCCCTAAGCCAAGTACCTTTCTCAGATTTATCTACTCTCAACTAGTTTATAGCTGGCTGGTTGGTGGAGCAATTCTCCATATCTAGGAAATCCCATGTGTTGACATTGCTAAGCCCTGGAAAAGACTTTGGAAGCCTTCTACTCCCACTGTTTCATTTTGTAGAGACAGCAACTGAGGCCTAGAAAGGGAGAAAGACCTGACCAAGGTCACACAGAAAGTTAGGAATAGAATCCAAGCCTCTTCACTTCACATTCCACATTTCTTTCCCAGACACCATGTTGCCTCATATGTCTAAGGCCATGTGAGCTAGACTCAGAATCATAAATTCAGAGTTAGAAGGAATGTTGGAGGACATGCAGCCCAATTCTCTCATTTTATAGATGAAGAAACTGAGGCCCAGAGAGGTTAAATGACTTGGCTAAGGTCACACATCTAGTATCTGAGGTGGAATTTGAACCCAGGTCTTCTTGACTACAAGGCCAGTGGATGCAAGGAAGACACTAGGCTCAGGACAAAAAAAAAATCTACTGCATAGGCACACCCTCCTTTAATATTCCTGCTCCTTGAGAGCAGGAATTTTTTTTGTCTTTGTATTCCTGGCAGTGGCACATAGTAGGACCTTAATAAATGCTTGTTGATTGAGTGATTGATTGGAAATTGCCCAGAAGCCAGGTCCAGTCCAGGTGTTTATCTGTTGTTTGCCAGTCTATGAGTCTCAAGTCCTTTTAACCAAGGAAGCAAGAGTTCAATCCAATTAAAGATATGTTTGGAGCCAGGGGGACCACTAAGAAGAGGTCCATCATCTGTAGACAGAGGAAGATGAATTATTAGAAATAGGGATCAGACCTGTGATTTCACTGACATAGGGAACCCAGGGATGAACAAATAGTGAAGGTGTTTATTGTTGTTCAATAATGTCCCACTCTTCATGACCCCATTTGGGGGGTTTCTTGGCAAAGACACTGGAGTGGTTTGCCATTTCCTTCTCCGGCTCATTTTACAGATGAAGAAGCTGAGGCAGACAGGGTTAAGTGACTTGGCCAAGGTGACACACCTAGTAAGTGTCTGAGTCTGTTTTTGAACTCAGGAAGATGAGTCTTCCTAACTCCAGGCCCGGCACTCTGTGCACTATGGCTCCACCTAGGTGCCCATTGCAGGACTCCAGGCAAGCCTTTTAATCTTGTGGGCCTCAGTTTTCTCATCTGTAAAATGAAGAGTTTGGACTAGATAACTTCTGAGTTCTCTTACAGCTCCAGATCTTTAATTCTGATTGAAAACAATTTCGCTGCTGTTGTTCAAAATTGTCACTTCAAGGTAACTGCATAGGGGATGACGAATTGCCCTTGAAACTGATGAGGCTGGATTCTTCCCTGAGCTGCTGCTGGACCAGTAACCTGATACCTCCACTGACTCTGATTTCCCAGCCATAGGCTCAGTTGCTGGGAGATGCCACAGACTAGAGTGAAGGAAGGGTGGAAGGGTCCTAGCTGCCCTTGCCCCCTTTCCCTATAGTACTGCTCATGCTCCCCACCCTACTGTCCCTGGGAATTCTCTCTCATAAAAACTCTTGTAAGGGGAAGATTTAGGAGCATTTTCTCCAAGTCAGTCTTCCTATCCTGCACACCAAGGGAGACCCCTACCCACATTCTCAGGATGAAATGAAAAAAGGGCCTCTCCAGCTCCAACCCTACCCACCTGATCAACTTGCCTACTGTCTAAAGTGTTGGGAACACGAACCAAGAATCTGAGGAATGGGGTGGAAGTTGAGAGCTGGGCATCCCCTTGAATCGACCTCTGGAAGTCAGGAGCAGACAGGGGCCCAGGCTGTGAACCTTGACATCACTGGAGACTAGTCCTCTTGTATCAAAGGAAGGGATGGGGACAGTGGATGGAGGGAAGAGTGATCTCCACAGATCAGATTGGGAAGGTAGGACTAGAGCGGGAAGGGACGATGGGGTGAGGGATTAGAATGTTCCTTCACTTCTTAGAATGAAAAGGAAATAGAATTTATGAAGAAATCCAGGAGGATTATCTCTGGTCTCAGCTCTGACCTCTACCCCGGCCATACAGTTGGTAGGGATGCACAGAGACAGTGGACAGAGTGGAAGGAGGAGCACTGTCGTATCTCCGTGCCAACTTTGTCTAAAGGGCACAGGGAGGAGAGAGGGCAGGTGCAGGGCTAAGGGTAAGTGGTCTGTGCTGCCGTGGGCTGGAGAAGGAGGGGGAATATGTCATCTAATAATAAAGTCCAGGCCACCGCTTTCTGAAAACACTAGATCTAAACTAAAGCATCTCACGGTTGGCAAAGTTTGAGTTCGGGCCAGAGAGGAGGGACCTTGCTGGGAGCTCTGTCCTTCGCTTCTTTCCCCCTTCCTAGGGAGCATCTTCTTGGCCAAGCCGAGTAAAGGGAGGGCGGTCTCATCCCGGCGCCCCGAGCTTCCTGCCCCCTGGCCCATCAGGCCGCCACCTCCCCCGCACCTCCGCGGTCGCCCTTTGCACGCCCCACCCTTCCCACTCACCAGCGCACCAGCTCCCAGCGCTTCTCCCCGGGCTCCCTGCGGCCCGCCATGCCTCGGGCCCCTGCCTGGCCCCTCTGGGCGCCTCCTCCCTCCTATTCCCACCCCTGTCAGGGCCGAGGACTGCTGGAGGAGGCTGCGGCGGCGGCGGCTGCTGCTCAGACTGCGGCAGGACAGGGAGAGAAAGGACTGAGAGCGAGCTCGGTGAGGGAACAGGGACAGGACTGGCCGGAGCTGGGGCGGGGCAGGGGGGACATGGAAGGGCGGGGCGAAAAGTGGGGCCCCCAAGCTGGGTCCTCTCCGCGCCCCTCTACCACCTCGAGGCCCGGCCTAGGCCGCTGCTCCCCGCGGAGTCGGAGTTTGGGGAGCGAACTGGGGAGAAAAGAGTTGCCGGGACACCCCCGCAACTCCCCACCCCACCACCCCCGCCGGCTGCATAGTGCGTGCGAATAGAGTAGTGCTCCGCCCCACCCGCAGTAGTGTCATAGACTCAGAGATCCGGCATCTCAGAGGCCATCTAATCCGACCCTGACGAGCCTGAAGCCCAGGAAAGCTCAGTATGGAGGGTTTGAAGCCCCCGACGTCCAGGATCTTTTTCCAGGAGTGAGGCTGCTTTCCTCTTGTTTTGTTATTTTCTGCAGAGGGGCTCATCTTCCTGGAAGCTTGTGAGAGGCCACCTATCCTCCTCCATTCTACGTTCCTTTTCTCTTCCTTCTCCAGGACCTATGAATACAAAAGAGATACCCTTAATATTGGGCAGTGTTTTAGAAAGCACTCTCCTTGGAGTTGAGGAGGGGCTGGGTATAAGTCTCGGATAGCTGTGTTATCTTGGGCAAGTCACTTCCTCACTCCAGACCTGTTTCCTCCTCTGAAAAATAAACTGGTCGGACCAGATCAGAGGTTCTCAAAGTGTGATCAGAGGACCTCCGTCCCAGAGATACTTCAAGGAGTTGTAGAGAGATCAAAATGCTTGTTCATAATAACACTAAGGTATTTTCATTTCTAATATGGTAAATATTGATAGATATAACACATAAACAAAAGCTCTTTGGAGGATCTTCGATATTTTTTAAGGTTGAGAATTGGACTAGATTATCTCTAATGTATTATCTGGCTCCAAAATTCTGTGTTTCTAAAACTTTGCTAGTTTGCTGTGTGATTCTGGATTAGGCACATACCTCTCTGGGCTGCTTCTTTTTCTTTTTTTGGCTAGGCAATGGGGTTAAGTGACTTGCCCAGGGTCACACAGCTAGTGTCAAGTGTTTGGTCTGAGGCTGTATTTGAACTCAGGTCCTCCTGACTTCAGGGCCAGTGCTCTATCCACAGCACCACCTAGCCACCCTTTAGGCTTCTTTCTTACTCAGCAAGCAGTGTGGACAGTGGAAAGAGCACAGAGTGTGGAGGCTAAGAGCCTATGTTTGAATCCTTCACTACCTCTTACTTCTTGTGTGATCTTGAGCCACTCACTTGACTCTTAGATAACTTGAAGGTTTTTGGCTCTAAATCTGTGATCCTGTGACTTCAGTCCTACCTATGGGGCAAGTCCTTTTACTTCTCTGGGTTTCAATTTTCTTTCCTGTAAAACTGGGGTAATAATTTACATGAAATCACAGGCCTGTTGGGAGGATTCCAAAGGATGATGTAAATTACCCAGTAATCTTCAGCCACTCAGATGTACCTTAGATTTGGTGACTTAAGATTATGGAGGGAAAGAACTGGCAGGCTACATCAACAAAGAAAGATTTTCCTGCATAGTTTGCTGTATCCATGTCCCAGATTTTTACCTCCCTTTTCATGTGTCATCATCTCGTTAGAATGTAAGCTACTTCAAAGCAAAGCCTGTCTTTGTTCTTGCTTGAGCTTGCATCCCAACACTTACCACAGTGCCTAGCACATAGTAAGTACTTCATAAATGCCTGTTTTCTTCCTTCTTGTTACAAGGAAAGAGGCATGAGGAAGAACATAGATAGAGATATGACCTTTCTCAGTTTGCTCTTCTGTGAAATAGTGATAATAAAACTCTTGCCACTTTCCTCACCAGGCTGTTGTGAGGAAAGGGATTTGTAAACTTGGAAGTAGCCAAAGTCACTACTGACCCAAAGAGCAATGGAAGGAGACATGAGAGGCACAAATACAGATTATTTCCAGTGATCACTTAATCTCAAGAAGTGGCAGGAGGGATATAAAGTGGATAGTTGGAAAAGGAGAGAAGAAGTCAGTCATGTGAAAAAAACAAACCAGATAGACAATTTAAGTGTTCCACTGGTGCTCACAAAATACAAAAAGGCCTTGAGGAAAGCTTCCAGGACATTGGATTTTTTCATAAACCCTCCAGAGAAGATCTATGGGTGAACACAATGAATATGATGGACAAAAGTATCACAGGATGAGAAGGCCTGGGTAGATTTCCATCTGCTCTGTTGAAGGGCATGCCTTCATGAATAAGCATCCTGATCTGTTGAAGGCTAGAAGCAAGCTCCTTGAGAGTAGGGCCTGGTTTCATTTTTGTTACTCTACTACTGGTACCTAGCACAGGGCTTGGCAAATAGTGGCTTCTTTAAGAGAAAAGAAAAGAAACAAGGGATAAGAAATGAGAAACCAAAGTCCAGTTGGCCACACAAAAATCTTATGCCACTATATGATGAATATATTCTTTGAAAAAAGGATCAGTAAGTACAGTACTTGGCAAATAGCCCATCAAAATGAAATTGATTGTATTTTAATAGACAGGAAATGACTAGTTATTTATGTAGGAGTCAGTCTTGAATCAATTGTCTGTGTGTAGTCAGATCATCAACTTGTTTAGAGCAAAGATGAATATCAAGCTAGAAGAATGAAAAAGAGAATTCATGCACGTGAAACAACTCAATCAATCCTGACCTATTCAAAGTGGCTATTTGGCAATGGATGGAAGAAACAACACAGACACAGACCCTAATAATTTTATACAGAAGCTTAAATGATATAAATAAGTTATCATGTCACACTTACTTGCAAAGATGAAGTATGTGGCAGCCAAAGACAGCACTAGATTAGGATATAAATTTGTTCATAAAATAATATAAACTTGTTCATAAAACATTATTGAGAAGAATAGGTGGGAGATTCTGAATAAAACAGTAAGCAGCAAAGTAAAAAATAAACACTCTAAAGAAAGCTTGGTAGTAGTTTCAACTAAACAAAGTTATCCCAAAGGTACTTAAGGATGAAAATGAAAGGGCAACAAGCAAAGAAAAATGGAAAGATCTGCAAAGATCTTGATAACAAACTCTTTCACCATCAAGCATAGTGAACTCTGATTTGGATTCTAACATCATACTTCCAAATGTGCTTAGAGAGGAAGTAGAAATAGCCCTAAAGAGAACAACAATGGGGAAAGTTACTGGATCAAATGAGGTGTACTTTGAGGAGATCCATGCCTGGGACAACACAATTATAAGGGAATTGAGGGTGAATTCACAAGATATCTAAAGGAGGGAAAGATAGCTAAGGGGTGCAGGAAAATCTCACAGCTTTATAATAATTCTGAAAAAGGAGACCAAGAGACCAAGAGCCATCTGCTATATGCCTACTTTCCCCATCTATGTCCTGTTTTTATTGGAATCATCTCTACCCGCATCAAAGCCATCCTCAACGAATTTTTAGTATTGAACAAGCAGTCTTTCTCAAGTAATATTGCACAATAAACCACACCTTTACTCTCACTTGTCTCCAGGAAAATGGAACTCACGACCTTGGTTTGTGGGGGATATAATATCCCACTATATTTATTGTTTGTTGATTATTAGAAAAGCACTTGATCTGGTAGAGCAAAACACCCCTTAAAGACTCCCTTCCAACAAGGTTTCTCCCCTCCGTGGGTCAAAATTATTCAAGATTCTGCATTTTTGTTAGGCAATGGGGTTAAGTGACTTGCCCAGGGTCACACAGCTAGTGTTATGTGTCTGAGGCCGAATTTGAACTCAGGTCCTCCTGAATCCAGGGCCAGTGTGCTATCCACTGCACCACCTAGCTGCCCTATTTTTGTTTGTTGTTGTTGGTTTGTTTTGGTGTGGTTTTTTGGGGGGGAGGGGGTTAAGATTCTTTGAAAGATTTCACAAGAAATAACCTTGTTTGATGACTCTCTGGTCATTATATATTAAGGAGTGCATGAAAAAGAAAAAGGTGTGCTCACTAAAAGTATTTGCCAGTCATGATTAGACTATAACTTTCTTGAGGTCAGGGGCCACAACTTTTCTGCTTTGTAGTTCGTGGTGAAGGAGCAGAGTAAGCACTTAATGTCTGTTGAATTCAATCAGTAAGGTCAAAGTTTCTAATCCAAAGTCAAAGAGGTGAGCTGGCTTATAAACTGACCATTAACACTTCTTCCGCATCAACCATCACCTAGCTTCCATTCTCCCATACCCTTCAGACATACTCCCTGTACCCAAATACACAAATCCTCTTGCAGAAATTGAAGGTCACTCACTTCATTTCCAGCTGCACACACAAAAAAATACTAGATGGTGACTTAGGAGGCCTAGTCCTAGTCCATACTTTGTCACTGATTACCTTCATCATCTTATCCAGGTAATTTCATCTGTCTGGACGTTAGTTTCCTCCTTCATACAATGGAGGCTTGGTCTAAACGACATCTAAGGCCCCTCCCAGCTCTAACATTGTCTGCTGTTTGTTTATAATATGCCTCTAATGAAACCAAGGTCGTGAGTTCCATTTTCCTGGAGACAAGTTTTAGAAAAGAACCTGGTTCAGTGATCCCATGATCACAAACTTCACCTCCTACAATTACTCACCCATCTTCTTTCATAGAAATATATCCTGTTGCCCATAAAGAGGACTGGATAAGAGAGCCTGGGTATCTCAGAGGGACCTATTTCCATTGCTGGAGACACTAGTCCAAATTCAAGTCTTGATGGAAAAACTCAGAAGCATATTGGTGTATGACAATCAACACAGATATCCTGCTTTGGAGCCATCTAGATGGGGGCAGATTAGTCTCATTAGAGACGCATATGTCCTCTGTGGACTTCTCCAAAGGAGGATTTCTCTGTCCTTCTTCCATTGGTCGGGATTGCTCTTACCTGTAGGTGAAGAAGGCCATAACTTCAGTGCAGTAATTTTAGGGGGCTCTGTTCAGGGCCTCGTGTTCAGAGTGGTGGTCAATCCACCACCTGTCATTCCACCGTCAGTGCTCCATTCTTTTGAGTCTTGAAGGTTTATATTTTCCAAAGTCTCCCATTAAAAATAAATACCCATAGGGAGAGTTATCAGGATGAGGAGGGATAAAGAACCACTCAAAGAGGGAGGACAGGATGGGGGGGAGCATCAAAGAAAATCCACCATTTTTTCAGAGGGTTCCCTTAGCTGGTAACAGTTCCTTCTGTGACTCTTCCTGCCCCTAAAGATGTATCATTCCCAGGGGCTGCCAAAGTGCTGTCTATTCTAAATGGGACTTGATCATTGTCAAGGTAGGGAGGAGAAACCAGAGAGCGAGATTCCTCTAGGAGCTGGCCTAGAAGAGTGCTGAAGAGGAACCAGACCTTGGGTCTTTCCATCTGGAGGAGTGACTTCTTTCTCTTCCTCCTCAAATTATGGTGTATTATTTACTTATCTGTTTCAGTGTCCTAAAGCTACGTGGAATGCAACCTGCTTGAGAATAGAGACTTTAATTTTTGTCTTTGAATCCATAGAACATTTGAGGCACAATACTTGCCTCACACCCTAGTAGGTAATTGATGAGCGTTTGTCTAATTGAATCAATCCTATGTTGTATTGAACTGAATAACACCCAGGCAGGACTGTGTGCCCCACAGTGCTTTAGCCACAGACTGATTCGCGATGGAAGCTCATGAAATATTTATTAAATTAATGTTTTTAAATCAACTCTGCCCATTGCCTGTAAGCCGGACTTCACTTCTGGAACTTCTCCCTCCCCTCTAGAGAACTCCAAGGGCGGGGACTGGGCCTAGAAGCAAGGTTGGGGACAGGATGTGGAGAGGGGGAGCTAGCGCTCTGGGGAGCTGTCCGTGGTGCCGAAAGCCACCGGCGCAGTTGGGTACTTGGCTCTCACGCAGGTCCCGAAGCTAGGACTCCTCCTCCCGCCCCCCGCCCATCCCCTTCCCTTTACTACGTCCATGACCTAAAGAAGTCCTCTCTAGCTTCCCCCTCCCAGCCCCCACTCTTCCCACATCTCTCTCCGAGGCCTCCTACACCCATCGCCCACCAGGCTCTCTTTTCTGCCTCTCTGTTCCCCAGTGGCTGTAACTCCTTCAATTCGCCTTGTTGCACCTCCCCCAGCCCCTCATCTCTTCCCTTAACCTTGTACCCCGCACCAGGCTCGGGCGCAGTCAGCATCAGCCCCCTTTCCACCCCCAGTCTCCTCCCCGCCCTCTCCCGGTCTATCCCAGGTCCCGGTCCCCTCCCCCTCCTCTTCTTCGTCTATCCCTAGCACCCCTCCTCCTCCTCTTCCTCCTCCTCCTTCTCTTCTGCCCTCCCTCCGATCTCTCGCCAGTTCCGGTCACGTTGCTCGGTGTTTACGCCTTGATCCCGCCCCGAAGCCCCCCCTCGACGCTCCGGAGCACCCCTTTTTCTCCCCCAGCCCCCCCGCCTCCGAGCCCCCCAGAGACTGGAGCCGGCCAGCCCCGGCACCTCCCGCCCGCGCAGCTGATGGAGCCGCAGCCAGAGCCGGCGCCACACAGGCGGAGGAGCATCTAAGCGGGTTGGAGGAGAGGCGCCCCCCACCCCAGCCTCCCTAGCCCCAGCCGCGGTTTTCCTTGGCCGGCCGGACCCGCCGCTCCCCTCGGGTCGCGAAGGTGAGGACGGGAGGAGTGGGGAGCGGAGCGGAGGCGGGGCAGGGTGGAGGTGGGCTGGCGAGGTGAAGGGGAACAGAGCCAGACACTGCGCCTGCCTCCTGGGAAGGTTGGAGCCGGGGCTTGGAGGGGCCCGAACACTAAGGAGGGAGCGCGACTCAGGTCCGCTGCCTGCAGAAGTTGTCCTCCACGGCCTGGCCCCTGGCCCCTGGTCCCTTCTGCTCAGCGGTCCTTCGCATGAACCAAGGTGGAGGTGGGTGAGGGAGTCCACGGGTGCCCAGACCAAGACTTCTCTCCCCCTTTCACATACTTCCCCCTCTACCTTCCTCTCCTTCCCCTCCTCCCTTCCCCCTCCCTTCTTCTCTCTTTATTCTTCGTCCTTCCATTATCCCTCCCCCACCCCCTGCCTTCCTCCTCTGCGCCCCTTCCCCTGGGTGTTCATATTCCCAGCAAAATCAGAACGGATCAGGATAAATGATTGTCGAGGGATTCCCCCACTCCCCCAGGATTCAATTAAACGAATAGCCACGAAGTATCTACAACGTACAAGGCACTGGGCTAGGTGCTGGGCATACACAGATGAATAAAACAGTCCGTGCTTCAAGGAATTTAGAGTCTTGTGGGGGTAACAATCTCTATTCCAGCCCCTCCGCACCTCTTGAGCCCACCTCCCCACTTTGCAGCTCCGGGCTTGAGTTTCGTAAGGAAGTCTTTCGTGGAGGAGGGCAAAGGGAGAGGGAGAGATACGTAGATCTGAGGGACATAGACTTGAGGAAAAGGGAAGGAAGTGAATACATTTGGATGAAGAAAGACTTCCTTCCAGGTGAGGGTATTTGGGTGATAGAGGGATTTGCTGGTCTATCGCCTTGCAGAAAAATTCACAGAAAATTTACCTGCCTTGCTCAGTGCCTGATTCTTTTAAAATCAGTCTCATTTCTTCCAGGCAGGATCGTTCACAGGGTTACAAAATCCCACTGGAGATAGGGGTTTGGGAGATCAGCTCTTGCTATCAGTTCTCAGAGCTTTCCCCTTCTCACCCCCATCCATTCCCCACCAGATTGTGGCAGATTACCCTAGGGAGAGAAAGCTGGCAGAAGGGGAATGAGGTAGCCCAGTAAGGCTACAATGAACAGCTGGAGTCAGCCTGGAAACCACAGTATCCCTTCCCCTACCATAGAATAACAATCTCAGAATTGGGAGGTCATCTAGCCCTCCTGTACCTGGGCAGAAATCCCCTTTTACAAGTGAACCTGGTTTTCCAGCTTCTGCTTCAAGATTTCCACTTATGGGGAAATTCATTACCTCCCAAAGCAGTATCCTGCACTTTGGAACGGCTTCAAGTTTTACCAAGCTTTTCCTGAGGACAAACCGAAATCTACCCCTCTGTAACTTCTCTCCATTATTCCTAGTTCTGGCCTCTGGGGAGACACACAGAACAATTCCAATCCCTCTCCTGTATAATGGAAAACATTTGGAGCCAGCAGTCATACGCCCCATAAGGTGCTTTTTTTTTCCCTTCTCCAGACTATGCATCTGTATGAATCTTTGTATGGCGTAGTCTCCAGTCCTATCAGCCCATTCTGGAAGTTCCCTAGCTTATAAGTCTCCTTCCTAGAATATGGTACCTACACACACAATATCTGAGAAGTAATCAATCGGGCCCAAGTAACTGAGGTATAATCATCCTTCTGGTCCTGTATATTCTGCTCCTAAAATGGTATTAGTTTGTTTTCTCCCCCCCCCCTTTTTCTTTTTTGGCTGCCTACATACACTATTAATGCTGTTCACTAAAATCCATGGATGTTTTCAGAGAAACTACTGCCTAGCCACATTTCCCCAACTTGTACTTGTGCCATTGAATGTTTAAACCCAAGGTAGGACTTTACATTGATCTCTGCCTTTTCCCAAATTTCTTCATCATGGCTATATCTATGGCCAAGGCAAAGGAGGATCACTTTATATTCCAAGCCTCCAAACCAAATTTTTGCCTCCAGCAGTCAACCACAGCAATGACAATGACAATTACACCATTTTATATCTATACCACCCTTTGAATTTTTCAACATGCCTTCATGTTAACTATGCCTCAATCCCACAGATGCCCATGAGATGGGTCCATCAGACAGTATTTCTCATCTGATGACACAGAGAGTTGCCTAAGCTTGTCCAATAAATTAGGTGCTAGAATGCAAGTTTCCTAACTCCTCTTCAGGGGTTTTATTCTGCACCACATAACCTAGGGTATCTCAGAGGGTAGTGTCAGCAGAGTGTAGTGAGAAAAGCACCTGAATGGGCCTCAGGAGACTTGTGTTCCATTCACTTTCGTGACCTTGGGCAAATCATAGGAGCATCATAAAGTGGTCAAATTTGAGCTGGAAGGGACTTCAGAAATCACATCGTCTAATCCCTTCATTATGCGGATGACAAAACGGGGGCCCAAAAGGGCTAATTCAATTCAATTTCACAAACACATATTAAGTACCTACTATGTCCATGACAAAAGGCTATGTGCTGGACTCTCCAAAGATCACCCAAGTTGTAGTCAGCAGAGCCAGAATTTAACGAAGATACTCTGAAGCCAAACCTAGTGTGTGTCCCTTGTCTGGGCCTTAGTTTCCCCCACTGTAAAATGAGGAGGCAAGAAATGTTATGAGTCTTTTGGTACCTTCCCCACACAGGAGTATCTCTGGTAATAGATGTCACTATGAGGGTCCTGAAAAAGGTTCTAGGAGCTCTTGTCCTCCAGTCTCCTGCTCCAACATGTGATTGACACATTCCCATTTCCAACCCTTTTCTTTCTCTGATCAGCATAGAGACCAGGGGGGTGAGAAGGAACAGAGTCAGGGGAATCCAGACTTTAAAACCTTCCAAAGAAGAGTAAACAGATTATACCAGGAGTATAATACAGGAGAGACTGAGGGGCTTCCACCTTTGTAGGAGTATAAAAATAAGAAAGGGGATACTTGGCACCCCTGTTCTCTGCTTCCTAGCTGTATGACCTTGGGCAGGTGATGCTCTTTGGTTGCTTCCGTAAAATGGGGATTATAACACCCAAGTCTGTTTGAAGGCTGTAACCATGTCTTGAACCCTCTTCCAGTTCAGAATATCTATTATTCAGATGCACTTGTGTTCTTGCTGTGTCTTTGCTCTTAGGGGGTATCTGCTCAGAAAACGTAGCTTCCCCTTCCCAAAGTCAGCTTACAAAAGGAGTCTGTTCAGTAGGAGAGAGACTTGGACTGGAAGCTGAGATAAGGATGATCTTGTTTGCAGAGGTCAGGAGGGCAGGGCTGTGCCAGCAGTTCCCTAGTAGACAGAGTCAGGTGACTTCTGGACTTGAGATGTGAGGGAGAGAAAAGAGCAGAAAGAGAGAAACCTAGGAACCCAGGGGGCGGGGTGGGAGAAGGACCCAGTAGCACACAGAACAGATGCTTCACAACCTTAATTTCCTGCCACCCGAGGGCATGAAGCACTGAAACTGAGAGGCAGTACCCAAGACTGAATTTCTAATCTGATATCTTGGCACCTCCCTGGTCTGGGCTCTTAGAGTGAATTAGGATTTCCTGAGCTAGATGCATATGGACACTCAGTTTGTCCCCTTTACCATTCCTTCCCCCCTCCTCATGGAACATTAGAATGTATGCCAGGATCATTTGTGACCCATATCTCCTCCCTGAGAGGAGAGGAACAGCTACTGTGGCTTGTCTGGAACAGGTTCAGGTCCTGCTGTGGAGGCTGCCCAGACATCTGGGCTGTTCAGGACCTAGTAGCAAGTGGGTTAGTTCTGAGGGGCTAGATGGGAAAGGCTTTGATTAGGCACACCAGCATTCCAGGAGCTGGGAGTGGGTATTTTGTCTCCTAGGCTATATATAGCAAGGGCACATTCATACACACACACATACCCACAGGTAAACACCTACAGTTCCCACCTTCAGCAAGAAGCTTTTCTCCATTTTTCCCAATCCTCCTTAATGCTAGTACCATTATTCTGTGATTTTCTCTTATTTATCCTACTTATACCTTATTTGTACATAATTGTCTGCGTGTTGTCCTCCTCATTAGACTGAGGTCCTTGGGAGAAGGGACTGTCTTTTGCCTTTCTTTGTATCCTCAGTACTTGGCACAGTGCCTGGCACATAGTAGGGACTTTATAAATGCGAGTTAACTAACACCCCTACGGCATACCACATTTGTGAGTACATACATCTATAGGTACACAAACTTCAAAAACATTACACCTCCTGGCACCCCTACCCCCACCCACCATACCTATCATACACTTACAAGTCGGGGCACATACACCACTGAGCACACACACACACACACACCCCACACTTGCATACAACTACACCTACGAGGAGAAAGCTACACCACACCTGCAAACATGCTGACGCAGACCCAAAGGCACACAGACACATACTCTCAAGTACATAGTCTTTCTACACTCCTCATTCTCCCTCCCCTGACCTTAAACATTCATTTGCCAAGTCGGGTGGATTTTATCTCCACAGCAGCTCTTGAATCCATCCCCTCCCCCCACCTCTGTGCAGACCCTCATTACCTTTTACCTGGACTACTACTAAGCTCTTAATTGGTCCACCTACCTCATGTCTGCCCACTCTGATCCATTCTCCCCACAGCCACCAAAGGGATGTTCCTGAAGCACAGGACTGACCAAGTTGCTCCCCTAATCAATAAACTTCGGTGGCTCCCTATGATCTCTAGAATCAGATTCAAGATCCTCTGACTGGCATTTAAGGCACTTCAAAACCTAGTCACAGAGACAAATAGGTGGTACAGTGGATAGAGCACCAGTGCTGGATTCAGGAGGAGCTGAGTTCAAATCCCACCTCAGACACATAACAGTCACTAGCTGTGTGACCCTGGGCAAGTCACTTAACCCCAATTGCCTCACACACACAAAAAAAAGACCTAGTCCCAACTTACCTTTCTAGCCTTATTACACACCACTCCTCTCCATGCACTCCATAGTCCAGTCAAACTAG